ATAAGAAAACATATGAATATATAGTACTTAATCGCTTCAAGAATAATGGATATCTTCTTCTTTACGTGCCGTCTCTTTCGTGGAGGTTGGCGATCACATTGGCAAAATTTTCACGATTCTCGGCTTTCCGAGAAGTTCTTCAAAAGTTAGGTGAGTCAATATGTATATATATGCGTTGAACATTTTTGTCTTTTATGAAAAAATAGTACAAAATTAATGTTATTTATATTACCTATACTGCGTGCATCTCAAAAATGGCTTACCGCTATAACTTTTTTATTTTTTCAGATAAAAAAAACGAGATTTGGCATGTTAGTAAACGACATAAATTTGGATTGACTAACGTATTCAATTGTTTTCGGTAACTTCCTTTCTTACCGGAAATGACTACAAATTTTGATTTTTAAATGGCACCCTCAGTATTTTCTTACTTTATTTGATAGAAAATAACACTCTGAATAGAATAACATATCATATGTCAACTTTTGACATTTTCGCATATGATTAGGATTCCCAACTTGAGCATCGGCGATTCCGGGACAATTATTTTTAAATTTTTAAATAATTGAAACAAAACATTAAATATTAGAAATTCAAATATATTATATGTAAATGTGATTTTTTTGGTCCCGGCCAAGGCAAAATTTTCGCCGGGACAGACTTTCTGATTCCTGGTTAATCCCGGTCAAACCGGGACGGTTGGGAACCCTACATATGATATATATTTGAAATTATAACTTGCGGTTCGTAACGAAAATTTGACTCCAAATACCTAGAAGTGTGTGGTATCACATTATTCGTAAAAAATTCTTTTTCGAAATATTTTAATGAGCCACCCTCGTTCCATTTGAAAAAATTGAGATATGATTAAAAATACGATTTGAGCATTTTCTAACTGACCAGGACAAGACACTAAAAACATTAGACAATCAAGTCTATTTTTCCGAGGCTCCTTGATTAAGAATTAGTGTTTTTCACATCTAGATTGCATTTTAAAATACGATTTTTTATTAAACGAGAATGTCAAAAGTTGACATATCATATGTCATTCTATTCAGAATATCATTTTCTGTCGAATAAAGTAAAAAAATACCAAAGATGTCATTTAAAAATCAAAAGTTGTAGTCATTTCCGGTGTAACAGGAAGTGACCAAAAACAGTTGAATACGTCAATCAATCTTAATTTATGTTATATACTAACATACCAAATCTCATTTTTTTATCTGAAAAAATAAAAAAAAAGTTATAGGGACAGCCACTTTTGAGACGCACCCGGCATAACCGACAATTTGAAAATCTATCTAAACTTTGTGCTCTTTTAAGCTCACATCAGTTTCTTCATGGAACTTATTTTAGCAGAATATTATAATTCGTTTTTTACCTTCTTTCTTCTCCGTCTTTCTTTTTTCGTATATCTCTATTTTTTTTTATTTCCTCTCTTCAGTCTGGTAGTACAATAAGCACGGGCAGTGCAGGATTCCTTTTGCAGAAGGTTTTTGACGAATATTATTAGAGTCGTTTCACACGTAAACAGGAAATTTGTTGAATATTTTCGGTGTAGTTTATTGGTCGTAATATTTGTTGCGCGTCTGGGCATATATGGATCTAGGTTATTTTACATTTTAGATATAATAACTTGATATTTCTATTATAGTGACGGAAGGCTTCCAAAATATACACAAATATATAGTGTCTCCACCTTTTTTTGTGACGATTGAAATTTTCATTACTTCATAACTGCGAAATTTAAGAAACTTTTGTGATCACTCTGCGTCAGAAGTGAAACATCAAAATACCTTCCAAACATAATGTGGTGTCGGTAATAATATAATGGATAACGTTCAAGATTGAACGGTTATTTCTGATGGTATTAAATGGCATAAGGTACCTAACGGTATTACTGATGGTATTAAATGGCATAAGAAAACATATGAATATGAATATGAAAACAAGAATAATGGATATACATTGAAAATTCACCTCTATAAAAAATAGTACAAAATTGTTATTTTTATTATACAACAACACGATTATGATTTCTTTTTCGCAAAAGAAAATTTTTTAAAATTTGGAATTTTTTGAAAAAAAATTGGAGCTTTTTTTAGTTTTTAGATAAAAACATAATTTCTTGATAATATGGCAACATAGGTAGTAGATTAAATTTACAAGAAAGAAAACCCTGAAATAATCCAGTGGTTGTAAAAATTTAAGCAAAAAATATTCCTTTTTTGGAAATTTAAGAGCAAAATAACTATCTACCAATATGATTACCCATAATTTGAAAATCTCTCTAATACCTATATTCCGCGCTCATGATTTGATACATCTTTTGTAAAACTTGGAAAATAAGTTGGTTATAATAATGGTTTTGTAATTCGGAAACTCTCTATTTATTTATCTAGTAATGCTAAAACACTCTATTTTAAAGTCGATTAGAGAAAATAGTATGATTAATTGGCAAGTAATGTAAACATTTGCGATCCGGTAAAATTGTGATGTAAGAGGAGGCTTAGCTTGCCTATGGCGGTTCAGTAGTAGACTGGCCAGCTGGCTGTTGTGTTGTGTTTTGACATAGAGCTGATATCTGGTGCGTTGAGAGTCTTTTGACTATAAACGTTGCATGTACTGTAAGGCAACGGGTCGTTTGACCGGAAGAAAACCTCTGGTGACGTCTTTCCTTCGAGGTTGGTCTTGAGAGTTTGAGGCCTCCCTTGTCTTCTCGATTGACACGATGCGGCGTTGGGGTAGAGAGACTAGTGAGGTACCCCAATTAGCTTATTCGATTGGGATGTGAATCTGTTTAGCGGCAGAGTTGCGTCCGGGGGAAGCCCCTATACTATTTCAGGTGACATTAGCTAGTTGTTGAAGATTATTAACCAATATATAACCGAATGATATTTGAATTAGATGGAAAATATAGAATGGGATATATTGAATAGAATATATCAGTGGCTAGGGGGCGGAGTACCCCCGGGTGAGTCTTACTATTTAACTACTAATTTTATCTAGATCAGTAAATGTTTGTTTGGTTATTTTCATGTACAATGAGAGAGTGCTTGCCAATGACCAACTAAATGGATATTTGAGGTGAATTTGCATTGTGAGACCCGGTTGAGTAAGCCCCAGAAATAAGCGATTTTACATTAAGGTAAAATGTCATATAAAATACATTGTATAAACGTCTATAAAACAGAATTAAAATTTGTCGTAATACTGTTCCGTATTTTTGCTTTAAGAACGTTCTTACGACTAACTTATAAAGCAAAATCATTTTAAAAACTAAAATATTTCACTTGCAATTTTAATACAACAAAATGGTTTTTGAAGAGAAGTAATAAAGTAATTATAAAACAGAATAGTACCGAAAGTTAAAAATTATAAAATAAGTGTGCTCATGTTATGTTGTAGCCATATTATAATTCTGAAGGTCGGTGTTATAATAGCCATCAATACTAGTGTAGATAATTTAACGTACTAATTGGGTTTTTGTCTTCTAATTGGAATCGGATAAAATGTAACTCGTTTTTTTGTAAGGTTCCAATTATAATTGATTATTTATGATAGTTTAAATGACCGTAAATTGACGGATTCCTCATCAATATATGTATGGACTTGCACCGTTAACATTATTCAAATTAGATCATTATTTGTTTAACAATATTATAATTAGTTATTGATTTTTTTTTTCGTAGTTTTTTTGTATGTATCACATAATAAATATTTTGGCTTATAAGAATATGTTAGTAATAAATAATAGTTTGGAATTCAGCATGGATATATAAAAAAATGATTTTTATATTTTTTTATATAGATCAATCAACAAGGATTGAAATGGTTGGTAATACTGTGTTAGAGGATTTTAAAATTAGCGACTGGTGCTAAAACAAATAATCAATCCAAATTTTTTTAGCAAATTATGTCAATTCATTAAGTTTGAGTTTTTTTACCTTCTTGAAAATTTACAAGTTTTGACTTTGTTATTTGTAAAATCGGCATATTATTTAATGTAAAAATTACTATTTTTTAATACAACTATACAGTATGTCCCCGGATTGTGTATACAAGAGGAAACACTTTTTTTATTATTGAAATTTCGAGAAAAATGCATTCTTCAAAAAAAATTGCTTCTTCTATAATAGTTTGGTTTCGTTTGGTTTGGCATAAACGGGATTTTATGCTTTTCCAAATTTTTCCAAATTCTTAAACATTTTAAAACAGCAAAAAATATGACGTTAATTAAAATTCTATCAATTACAATCTATCAAACAATGAAGACGAAATTAAATTGCTACATAAACGCGGTATGTAATTTAAAAAAAGTGTAAGCGCGATTACCATTTAACTTCACAAAATAATGTAATTTTACCAAATTGTTTAGAGATCATCATCATCATCATCAACCAGCCACTAAAGTTCACAGCTGGACGTAGTTCTGTCTCTCTCGTTTGCTTCCGTAACTCCCTATCTTGAGCTATTTGCATCCAGTTGCACCCCCCCCGTACTTTGATATTCGGTACTTTGTCTCTCACAGATAGCCCCATTATTGATCTTTCCATTGCTTTTTACGTTATTCTGGTTATGCTTACTGTTTTCTTGGTTAATGTTATACATTAGAACAGGTAGTACACATTGATTGAATATCTTTCTCTTCAAACATACCGGAAGTGCCCCTTTGAAAATGTAGAGATATTTTTTGTAGAAAAATTGTTTGAAAATGTAGAAAATGTTTAGAGATATTTAATGATTATTACCAAACAATGCGATTACGAAGAAGTAGAAAAAAGACTCAAACTCTCGGTCTAAGCGTTTATATTAAGTTAAACAGTGACACGTGTTTCGCTCATACGAGCATCATCAGACAAACACAATTAAAGTTGACTTTGAGTCTTTTTTCTACTTCTTCGTAATTTAAACCAGGTCTCTTTGAGAAGTATGGACGCCTTCTTTAAACAATTGATCATTCCAGAATGGCGCGAGGGCAAGCAGAATCGATTGGCTTCATTTAAAATACACGCTTTGGATTGTAAACATCGTAATTTATCGAGATTTTTTGGGACTTTTGTTAATTTTGAATAATACTTTGATCAGTTATAAGTTATAATGCCTTCATTTTGTTGTGTTGTTAACTGCGCGATGCGAGGAGAAAGGGATAAAGTATCGTTTTTTCTATTCCCGGCTGTTTTAAAGAATAGAGGAGAAAACATTCAGGCTCTATCAGAAAAAAGGCGAAATAGTGGGGTAAAGGCTTTAAAACGAGGCCCCTTATCTGAACAACAGCTTAAAACTTGGAGAATTTGCTCAAGACACTTTATAGAAGGTGAATAATAATACAAGTAGGTATCTAATATGTATTATTTGTTTCTGTAAGTGTACCAATAACAAAATCAAAAATAAGTATTCATTACTTTTAGGATCACCAGCTGAACTTGAAAACAAACTTCATCCAGACTGGATTCCAAGCCACAACATGGGATATGTTTCCAGCACCAAGCCCAGTAAATTAGCGGTATCAAGACACGATAGAGTTGTGAAGCGAAAGAAGCTTATTCATGAGAGTTATGATAAAGAGGTGAGTGTTTCACTAACTACTGGGTAAAATTATTATTAATTATCATTTTCCTGCATTGTTTTTTATAGGATAGGTAACTTCATTTAGTATTAAATATTCTCATGTATTTTTAGGTTCAAGCTGAAGTCCAGGTATAACCCGCTGAACACCCGTGTGGAACGATTCAAGAACCTGAACAGCATAAACAATGAACAATTATGTGGACTATTTAATGATTTAAGATTTTGCAATAGTCAGATTTATTCGTTGAAGGCAAAGCTAGAGCTACTAGATTTGAATGAAGAATCCTTAAAAATAATAATTCAAAAACAAAGTATTTTACAGGGTTTGAAAATACAGGTATGCTTTTCATTATACATGATGCTGTTTTTTTGTAGGCCATGCAGTGTTTACTCTTTTACTCTTCAATCTTAATGTAAGCTGTAATTGACTCTAATATTAGTAAATGTTAATTTAATTAGATGTTACTTGTTACCAATAAATTGAGTGTCATTAACAAAAACTTCTTAAATATAGATTTTTTATTTTCTGCATAAAATAGTTTTCTTTAAACATTTTTTTTATTTAAACAAATATATAAACATGTTCCATTTTTAAAGTGGTTCATATTTAAAAGAGGTGGGATGGCTTAAAGTCAAATAACCAACACTTCAATAATTTTAATGATAAATTTTATATTTTTTATGGAAATGGAACAAATTCATTTGTTTAAATAATGCCAGTCAGGCAGATATTGTTCAAAAATACACAAAGTTTGGTTTGGTAGCAGTGAATATGGGTCGATATCGCCGATCGCTTTAAGTTTTTGATCATACCGATACTTAATATCACCAGTAAGACTCAAGTAGTAATCACTTCTCTTCGATTTTAAGGCAAAAAACACAAAATAAAATCACTTTCAGAACAACAAACTTCTATAAACACGACGTTCAAATGCAAATCAAATGACACCGATCGATTTGCCTGCCCTCCAGCAAAAAATGGCGGTCTGTCAAAGTCACGTGTACTGGAATGGTCAATACGATTCTCACAATTAGCTTTGTGTGTTTACAATTGAAATTTCAACAAAATTTCATGTTTTTCTTTTAAATTTTACTAAATTGCTAATGTTATAATTGATAAAACCGCAGGTAAAACTTCCAGTTTATACGCTAGTTTTTAACCCGTCTTACTTGACAGGTAAAACGTTATGTGTAGACGGGACTTAAGAAATTGCGTATATTGCGTAAACTACTATTTTACTATAAACCCAACGCAGCCTATAAAAGATACGCATTAATGACGACGTCTTCTCGGACGATAATAATAAAAATTAAAAATGCTAATAAAGTATCCAATTTTATGCAGATTTATCAATCAGGAACCCATTAGAAAAATTCCATTCGAATAAATAAAACGTTCGAGTGGCATCTACGCCTGCATACATTACGGCGGGCTCAATTGACAGGTTACGATACAGCTTTTATCTCGGGACCCATTAAGATTCTCACTTTCTAATGTTTTTTCGGTAAATTTATTCTGAGGTTTCACGGTACCGCGGAAAAACAGGACGCCGTTGCAGCGATGAGTGCAGCGTTTGAGGATCTCAACTTGAGACTGGTTAAGTAAAATGAATATCTAATAGGATTTTCTCTGTTTTCAAACATCGCAAAAAGCAAGTTACGCGTTTTCACTATCATTATTTTAGAATCAGAACATCAATGAATTAAACAAATTTACTGCTTATATCAAAATACTAGATTTAAACTCCATCATCAGTTAATGATTAAAAACACGATAAGCATAGAACGACATTGCATCGATTTGGAGAATTAGACCATTGGAAAGTCAAAATCTGCGACAGCATTTGTTTGTATGTATAATAATGCCTCCCAATTTTTTTCGCGAATATTTGGCAGATTTGCTAACTCACCTTCAATGTACTGAGGTGTTCGTCGAGGAGACATCATTGTCCTATTCCAAACTCCGTGACAATCCGAAGATAGTTTTTACTTAAATCAAGGAAAATATGTTATTTTTCTCGGTCGTAAGTTCTGAGAAACTTTTTTCTAGTGTCTTGGGCCGTGGGACGATTTAAATTCCAGGTTACGGACGGAGGCTTCAAGGTTTTTGAGTTCCACTTTAAGTTGGTTTCCGCTTGGAAAACAGAACGGTTCTGCTTCAGTTAGTGGAGCGTTCGCTTTTTTCTAGCTAGATCGTTTGCCTTTTCATTGCCTTTCATTTCTTGGTGAGCGGGCACCCAGAGTAAGAGGAGGATTCTTCAAGATACTACTTACAATGACACACAGCTGTGAAACTAGGATTAGAATTTAGAATTTAGAATGAGTGGGAGGGGGTTAATCACTGCGATCTTACTTAGATCTAATGTGTCCCCCTATCTTGAGTTATAACTCATGTGTAGTTTGACAAAAGCCAGTATCTGGGACGGTTTTTCAGAGGGTAGTTCTCCATCTCCAATATCAGTCGTACCAAAGTTCATGACCCTAATGGTTGTCGTCTCGGTGCATTCAGTGATGAGGTGTTTCCCCATTTTTGCCACAGAATCTGCATTCGCCGTTTCTTCTTAGTTTCAATCTACTGAGGTGTTCATTGAGGAGACAGTGTCCTGTTAAAAACCCCGTGACAATCCGAAGATTGTTCTTACTTAAATCCAGGAAGATCTTTGATTTTTCTTGGTCGTAAGCCATCAGAAACTTTTTCGAGTGTCTTAGACCGTTGCAAGATTCCCATTCCAGGTTGCGGATGGAGTCTTCCAAGTTCTTGAGTTTCGCCTTTAGTTGGTTACCACTTGGGAAGCAGAACTGTTCTGGTCCAGTTAGTGGGAATGTTCGCTCCTTTACTAGCTAGATAATTTGCTTTTTCATTGCCTTCTATCCCTTGGTTAGCATGTACCCAGAGTAGGAGGACTTTGTTTTTTTGCCTAATTTATTCAGCTTCTCTATGCATTCTTTGACCAATCTCGAACTGATTGATACTGAGTTAATCGCTTTTAACGCTGCTTGACTATCAGATAAGCTGGTTATTTCTTGTTTCCGATAGTTCCTATCTAAAATAAGTTGTACGCATCTTTCTATAGCGTAGATTTCTGCCTGTAGGATGCTAGGGTAGGTGTCCATTGGTTCGGTATATTTAGTTCTCGGACCAAATACTCCGATCCCTGTTCCCTTATTGGTTTTGGAAGCAGCACCAAGTTATGGTATGGTCTTTTAACTGCTGAGCAGACGTTTCTCTCTTCCAATCCTTTTTATTACTCAATACTACATTGAGATGTTTCTCAAAGTCGTATATTCTTGGCATATCATCCCCTGGGAGTTGCAGGAGTGGTATTTGATTGAGAATGAATGGTGAAACTGTGATACTGAAACTAAAAGTTTTAAGAGAACACCGGATAGTACATAGGTCTATGAAGCAATGTGTGCTTGGAATATACCTAATAGAGGTACTATAAGAGGATATATACGGCAAAACAGATAACAGTTTAGATACCGCAGTAAATCGAGGTAACGGAGGTGATTTAAAACTAAATAAAAAAGAACATTGTCAAATAACAATGGAGCATATCACTTAGCCACCAGACTATAACATACGCAGCAGAAACCAGGCCAGAAACTTCAAGTAGTTAGTAGTAGTTCAGTAGTCATTAGGCCACTTGAGCTACCTAACCAATATCCACTTCCAGTCCAGATTCTTGTTTATTAGCTATTTTAACCAATCTTACCTGATTCACGTCACACTCCATCAGTATTTGGACCGGAAGTGGCTGTCTGGCTCAAGTGGCCTAATGACAACTAAAGCAAATACTACAGAGACGAAAGTAGTACGAATAATAGCTAGCTAGAGACTTATGGATCGAAAAATGACCAACGATATCAGAACAACGCGCAAAGTCGATAACATCAATCAGTTGATATTATAAAAAAAGAAGGAATTGCACCATCACATTAGCTGCATGACTGACGCCAGGATAGTAAAGATCGCGAGGGACAAATTACCAATAGGACGCAAGAGTATTGGAGGACCTCACAAATACCTTCTAATAGATTGAAACTATACACAGGTAAGGAGACGACAAGCAATTTGCTGACACATAAGATGGAGGGCGATAAAGAATAAGTCACTTAGCATGGATGGAGAAGACACAACCAAACCACACTGCAGTAATATCTAGAAGGCGAAAAAATGCAAAGAGAGAAAAATTACTCTTGGATGAGAATGATATCAAAAGCACAAAAAAATCACATAAAAGATTTTTAAAACATCAAATAACGATTAAATTTGCTTGCCAACTATTTATATTAACAGTTATAAATCTAATTTAAGAAAAAAATGTAAAAAGAAATAAATGCAACGCATGGAGGACATTTCTCTTCCGCACTAGATAAGCATACCTCTAATTAATATAATTTTCAACTCCAGTAAATAGCCTCAGGTCTCAAAAAATTATCGCGTTTAGTCAAAAAAACTGGTTGGGTTCAGCCCGACCGTCGAGAACGGGATAGAGACGGATCGCCGGTCCATATTAATATTAAATAATTATTGCCATTATCTGCATAATATAATTTCGGTGCGTCTTCTTTTTGGGCGAATGCCTGAATAATGTGGTCCGGATGGTTGATTTGCATACAATTTATCGGTCTCGACTGTATGTGAATATATAGTTTCTGCGTAATGACGAATGTCGCGATATTTGCTAATTGGATTTTTTGACCGTCAAACAAATGCATTAATTTAAAAATATAAAAAATGTGCAAGGTTAGTCAGTGCAGAGCCAAAGTTTATAACGGGAACATTCAGGTGTCAAAATTTGACAGCTCACAAATAACAAAGTTCCGTTACAAATAGTTTCCAGCTAGCTCAAAAAATAATTACATAAAATATATACCTGTTCAGAACACGAGATATCAAAAAGGAGGTGTATGGAAAAAGTGTATTGATTAATACCAAAATGTACTGGATTCGTTTAATAAAATAAATCTAAAGTTGAAAACAAATTGTCAATATCTATCGTAGAAAATGTAACAAATATTTAAATAAGAAATAATCAAATATGTACTAGTAAAAAATGTACTTCTGAAGGTGAACTATCCATAAAATAAATTAAACCACGAACACTTAAGTTATACATAAATATGAACAACCC